CGGCAAATTTCTCTCAAAGACACCTACGACCCCTCCCTCCCTCCTTCTCCCAACAACGACCAAATACGACCGCCCCTCCCCAGCGGCCAAGTACGGACCCCCCCATGTGTTTCACACAATCGGTGCTGTACGCTGGTAGTGAAGTAGTGAAAATGCAAAATGCCCCCCCCCCCCCCCGTCGCCGAACTGCACCGGGGCCGCCTCTCTACTGAACCGCTATGCAGATCCAGTGGTGTCATTGGAAGAGTTATGCAGTATTCCTATGAAGACCGCTCAGTGACTAGTGCTCACTAAAAATATGTCCGTGGTTCCCAGCCTACTCCTTATCAACAGCATATCTTGAAAAACGGGGTATATGACAAGAGAATCGTAATTTGCAGCGCTGCCAGGCCATGGTGAGCGATGCCGCGTCGCGAGCGACGAGCTCTCGTGCTCAGCCATTCGAATGCTAAAGGGGCGCGCAAATTACGATTCTCTTGTCCGTCCCCTGGAAAACGGGTTATGTTCTCATAAGAACATTGGCAACAAGTACACTACACATGAGATTAAATTTTATTTTTGATGATTTTGGTGAAGAATGGGCTTAGTTAGCAATGTCATGCAAAGAAAGCGAGTATCGATTCTTGACCGACATCGATGTGATCAAACAACGAAGTGGTTTGGGTATAGTTGTCCGTCTGTAACACTACCAGCTGATACATTTCTGTGTGACTAGGTAATTACAGTTAATCCAGGCAGTACAATACTGATGTGTTGTATACGGTAACGTCTTTGAAAGATTCCTAATAGCGGACTCTAAAATATCAAAAACCCGAGTTGTAGTGAAACAAAAAAAGGAAGAAATGTCTACTAGGAATTAAAACCTATTCAATTAATAAGATTCACGGTCTAAAACCAATAATAGCATACAATTATACTTACATAATGATAATACGGTAATGGGTAAAAACCGGTTGTACACGAGATGGGAGGCACTCGTATCTCTCAATCAAGAAATTCGTCTTGTAAAAACAGACTTCAATACCCCGATAAAGAGAAACAATAGAACTGAATAAATGAAGAATACGTTCGTTTCATCCTGGGCGGAAATGTCCATGCACATTGTGGGACCAGTCAGCCACCTGGGGACCCATAGTGAGGTTTCTTCGGGAGGACGTACTGTAGATGGGAAGCACCTCACTGGCTTCAACAGGAACAGCCTAAAGAAAACAGATTCTGTTTGTAAGACGTTGCTTGGCATCTGAATGCCGTCAAGTGTACACTCGAACGAGCAACTTATTTCAAGCCATGAAAGGCGCCGTTCGGGTTAGGGGAAGCGGCATTGTTTTGTTGATTCCTGGAAACTTACACATCTTACCATGGTGAGACCTGTACACTCGTCTCGAATGTAAATGAAATTCCTGTTACTATAGAGATTACAAGAATTTACAGGTCTCCACAGGAGGCACCGGTAGTGATGGGAACCAGCGAAATGCCCCCAGCAAGCCGAACAATGCTCCATAAAAAATAATAGCAATGAACACGACGCGCGGATTTTTGAAAGAAACAATTTGCAATAATCAATGCAAGAAATCAATGCAGTAATCAATGAAATAATCAATTCTAAGAATGTGCATCACAATCAACACGAAAAAGCGCGAAATTCCAGAGTATGGGCATGCAC